ATTATCATTACTGGATTATTATCACTACTGGATTATTATCACTGCTGGATTATTATCATTACTGGATTATTATCACTACTGGATTATTATCACTGCTGGATTATTATCACTACTGGATTATTATCACTACTGGATTATTATCACTACTGGATTATTATCATTACTGAATTATTATCACTACTGGATTATTATCATTACTGGATTATTATCACTACTGGATTATTATCACTACTGGATTATTATCATTACTGGATTATTATCATTAGTGGATTATTATCATTACTGGATTATTATCACTACTGGATTATTATCACTGCTGGATTATTATCACTACTGGATTATTATCACTACTGGATTATTATCACTACTGAATTATTATCACTACTGGATTATTATCATTACTGAATTATTATCACTACTGGATTATTATCACTCCTGGATAATTATTATCACTACTGGATAATTACAACTACTAGATTATTATCACTGATGGATTATTATCACTGCTGGATTATTATCTCTACTGGATTATTATCACTACTGGATTATTATCTCTACTGGATTATTATCACTACTGGATTATTATCTCTACTGGATTATTATCACTGCTGGATTATTGTCTCTACTGGATTATTATCACTACTGGATTATTATCTCTACTGGATTATTATCACTACTAGATTATTATCACTATTGGATTATTATCACTACTGGATTATTATCACTATTGGATTATTATCACTACTGGATTATTATCACTATTGGATTATTATCACTACTGGATTATTATATCTACTGGATTATAATCACTACTGGATTATTATATCTACTGGATTATAATCACTACTGGATTATTATATCTACTGGATTATAATCACTACTGGATTATTATCACTACTGGATTATTATATCTACTGGATTATAATCACTACTGGATTATTATATCTACTGGATTATAATCACTACTGGATTATTATCACTACTGGATTATTATCACTACTGGATTATTATCACTACTGGATTATTATCACTCCTGGATTATTATCACTACTGGATTATTATCACTACTGGATTATTATCACTACTGGATTATTATCACTACTGGATTATTATCACTGCTGGATTATTGTCTCTACTGGATTATTATCACTACTGGATTATTATATCTACTGGATTATAATCACTACTGGATTATTATATCTACTGGATTATAATCACTACTGGATTATTATATCTACTGGATTATTATCACTACTGGATTATTATCACTACTGGATTATTATCACTACTGGATTATTATTACTACTGGATTATTATCACTACTGGATTATTATCACTACTGGATTATTATTACTACTGGATTATTATCACTACTGGATTATTATTACTACTGGATTATTGTCACTACTGGATTATTATCACTACTGGATTATTATCACTACTGGATTATTATCACTACTGGATTATTATCACTACTGGATTATTATCACTACTGGATTATTATCACTACTGGATTATTATCACTGCTGGATTATTGTCTCTACTGGATTATTATCACTACTGGATTATTATATCTACTGGATTATAATCACTACTGGATTATTATATCTACTGGATTATAATCACTACTGGATTATTATCACTACTGGATTATTATCACTACTGGATTATTATCACTACTGGATTATTATCACTACTGGATTATTATCACTACTGGATTATTATCACTCCTGGATTATTATCACTACTGGATTATTATCACTACTGGATTATTATCTCTACTGGATTATTATCACTACTGGATTATTATCTCTACTGGATTATTATCACTACTGGATTATTATCACTGCTGGATTATTATCACTGCTGGATTATTGTCACTACTGGATTATTATCACTACTGGATTATTATCACTACTGGATTATTATCACTACTGGATTATTATCACTACTGGATTATTATCACTACTGGATTATTATAACTACTGGATTATTATCACTACTGGATTATTATCACTACTGGATTATTATCACTACTGGATTATTATCACTACTGGATTATTGTCACTACTGGATTATTATCACTACTGGATTATTATCACTACTGGATTATTATCACTACTGGATTATTGTCACTACTGGATTATTGTCACTACTGGATTATTGTCACTACTGGATTATTGTCACTACTGGATTATTATCACTACTGGATTATTATTACTACTGGATTATTATCACTACTGGATTATTATCACTACTGGATTATTATATCTACTGGATTATAATCACTACTGGATTATTATCACTACTGGATTATTGTTACAACTGGATTATTATCACTACTGGATTATTATCACTACTGGATTATTGTCACTACTGGATTACTGGCACTACTGGATTATTATCACTACTGGATTATTGTCACTACTGGATTATTATCACTACTGGATTATTGTCACTACTGGATTATTGTCACTACTGGATTATTATCACTACTGGATTATTATCACTACTGGATTATTGTCACTACTGGATTATTATCACCACTGGATTATTATCACTACTGGATTATTGTCACTACTGGATTATTATATCTACTGGATTATTATCACTACTGGATTATTATCACTACTGGATTATTATCACTACTGGATTATTGTCACTACTGGATTATTATCACTACTGGATTATTATCACTACTGGATTATTATCACTACTGGATTATTGTCACTACTGGATTATTATCACTACTGGATTATTATCACTACTGGATTATTATCACTACTGGATTATTGTCACTAACTGGATTATTATCACTACTGGATTATTGTCACTACTGGATTATTATCACTACTGGATTATTGTCACTACTGGATTATTATCACTACTGGATTATTGTCACTACTGGATTATTATCACTACTGGATTATTGTCACTACTGGATTATTATCACTACTGGATTATTGTCACTACTGGATTATTATCACTACTGGATTATTGTCACTACTGGATTATTATCACTACTGGATTATTATCACTCCTGGATTATTATCACTCCTGGATTATTATCACTCCTGGATTATTATCACTACTGGATTATTATCACTCCTGGATTATTATCACTCCTGGATTATTATCACTACTGGATTATTATCACTCCTGGATTATTATCACTCCTGGATTATTATCACTCCTGGATTATTATCACTCCTGGATTATTATCACTCCTGGATTATTATCACTACTGGATTATTATCACTACTGGATTTAAACGTGAATATATCAGAGAGCTTCATCATACCTGCAGGTGACTCACGTGGGCTGGGTACAGAGCAGGTGACTCACGTGGGCTGGGTACAGAGCAGGTGACTCACGTGGGCTGGGTACAGAGCAGGTGACTCACGTGGGCTGGGTACAGAGCAGGTGACTCACGTGGGCTGGGTACAGAGCAGGTGACTCACGTGGGCTGGGTACAGAGCAGGTGACTCACGTGGGCTGGGTACAGAGCAGGTGGACTCACGTGGGCTGGGTACAGAGCAGGTGACTCACGTGGGCTGGGTACAGAGCAGGTGACTCACGTGGGCTGGGTACAGAGCAGGTGACTCACGTGGGCTGGGTACAGAGCAGGTGACTCACGTGGGCTGGGTACAGAGCAGGTGACTCACGTGGGCTGGGTACAGAGCAGGTGACTCACCTGGGCTGGGTACAGAGCAGGTGACTCACGTGGGCTGGGTACAGAGCAGGTGACTCACGTGGGCTGGGTACAGAGCAGGTGACTCACGTGGGCTGGGTACAGAGCAGGTGACTCACGTGGGCTGGGTACAGAGCAGGTGACTCACGTGGGCTGGGTACAGAGCAGGTGACTCACGTGGGCTGGGTACAGAGCAGGTGACTCACGTGGGCTGGGTACAGAGCAGGTGACTCACGTGGGCTGGGTACAGAGCAGGTGACTCACGTGGGCTGGGTACAGAGCAGGTGACTCACGTGGGCTGGGTACAGAGCAGGTGACTCACCTGGGCTGGGTACAGAGCAGGTGACTCACGTGGGCTGGGTACAGAGCAGGTGACTCACGTGGGCTGGGTACAGAGCAGGTGACTCACGTGGGCTGGGTACAGAGCAGGTGACTCACGTGGGCTGGGTACAGAGCAGGTGACTCACGTGGGCTGGGTACAGAGCAGGTGACTCACGTGGGCTGGGTACAGAGCAGGTGACTCACGTGGGCTGGGTACAGAGCAGGTGACTCACGTGGGCTGGGTACAGAGCAGGTGACTCACGTGGGCTGGGTACAGAGCAGGTGACTCACGTGGGCTGGGTACAGAGCAGGTGACTCACGTGGGCTGGGTACAGAGCAGGTGACTCACGTGGGCTGGGTACAGAGCAGGTGACTCACGTGGGATGGGTACAGAGCAGGTGACTCACGTGGGCTGGGTACAGAGCAGGTGACTCACGTGGGCTGGGTACAGAGAGCAGGTGACTCACGTGGGCTGGGTACAGAGCAGGTGACTCACGTGGCTGGGTACAGAGCAGGTGACTCACGTGGGCTGGGTACAGAGCAGGTGACTCACGTGGGCTGGGTACAGAGCAGGTGACTCACGTGGGCTGGGTACAGAGCAGGTGACTCACGTGGGCTGGGTACAGAGCAGGTGACTCACGTGGGCTGGGTACAGAGCAGGTGACTCACGTGGGCTGGGTACAGAGCAGGTGACTCACGTGGGCTGGGTACAGAGCAGGTGACTCGCGTGGGCTGGGTACAGAGCAGGTGACTCACGTGGGCTGGGTACAGAGCAGGTGACTCACGTGGGCTGGGTACAGAGCAGGTGACTCACGTGGGCTGGGTACAGAGCAGGTGACTCACGTGGGCTGGGTGCAGAGCAGGTGACTCGCGTGGGCTGGGTACAGAGCAGGTGACTCGCGTGGGCTGGGTACAGAGCAGGTGACTCACGTGGGCTGGGTGCAGAGCAGGTGACTCACGTGGGCTGGGTACAGAGCAGGTGACTCACGTGGGCTGGGTACAGAGCAGGTGACTCGCGTGGGCTGGGTACAGAGCAGGTGACTCGCGTGGGCTGGGTACAGACATAAGGCAGAAAACCATTAGGGTGGTCGCCCACAAAGAGCCCAGAGACACCCACATGATACCCACGCCCGCTCTCAGCGCCTCCACACTGCTGTGTACAGCTGCTGCTGACTCTTCACCAGCTGTAGGTGAGAAAGTGTGCTAGTAATATACACCAGATACAAGAAACACTTGCTAGTACATATAGGAGATAATTACCTCTGACGACTAGCCACTTGCCGCTGTATCTCACATACAGTAACCTAAGTGAATACGAGGAACTACGCTTATTTAATAATACATATATGATTCATTACGTATTCGCATACATTATAGATTAGTTGATTATATATTTAAATGTAAATACAGTTTTGATCAAGAGATTGATCAGCTCAAGTTTTTTCTGATGACTCACCACATAGAGTAAATAGAACAGAATAAACCTGAGAGAACAATGAAAGAAACCACTGTCCGTGGGGGAAGTGAACTCGCGGCGCCCACTCAGGGAGGTACTACCATCCTGTGGTAGTAGGTTGGTAGACAGCAACCACCCAGGGAGGGACTACCGTCCTGTGGTAGTAGATTGGTAGACAGCAACCACCCAGGGAGGTACTACCTTCCTCTGGTAGTAGGATGGAAGACAGCAACCACCCAGGGAGGTACTACCGTCCTGTGGTAGTAGGTTGGTAGACAGCAACCACCCAGGGAGGTACTACTGTTGTGGTAGTAGGTTGGTAGACAACAACCACCCATGGTGGTACTACCGTCCTGTGGTAGTAGGTTGGTAGACAGCAACCACCCAGGGAGGTACTACCGTCCTGTGGTAGTAGGTTGGTAGACAGCAACCACCCAGGGAGGTATTACCGTCCTGTGGTAGTAGGTTGGTAGACAGCAACCACCCAGGGAGGTACTACCGTCCTGTGGTAGTAGGTTGGTAGACAACAACCACCCAGGGTGGTACTACCGTCCTGTGGTAGTAGGTTGGTAGACAACAACCACCCAGGGTGGTACTACCGTCCTGTGGTAGTAGGTTGGTAGACAGCAACCACCCAGGGTGGTACTACCATCCTGTGGTAGTAGGTTGGTAGACAGCAACCACCCAGGGTGGTACTACCGTCCTGTGGTAGTAGGTTGGTAGACAGCAACCACCCAGGGTGGTACTACCGTCCTGTGGTAGTAGGTTGGTAGACAGCAACCACCCAGGGTGGTACTACCGTCCTGTGGTAGTAGGTTGGTAGACAGCAACCACCCAGGGTGGTACTACCGTCCTGTGGTAGTAGGTTGGTAGACAGCAACCACCCAGGGAGGTACTACCGTCCTGTGGTAGTAGGTTGGTAGACAACAACCACCCAGGGTGGTACTACCGTCCTGTGGTAGTAGGTTGGTAGACAACAACCACCCAGGGTGGTACTACCGTCCTGTGGTAGTAGGTTGGTAGACAACAACCACCCAGGGTGGTACTACCGTCCTGTGGTAGTAGGTTGGTAGACAACAACCACCCAGGGTGGTACTACCGTCCTGTGGTAGTAGGTTGGTAGACAACAACCACCCAGGGAGGTACTACCGTCCTGTGGTAGTAGGTTGGTAGACAACAACCACCCAGGGAGGTACTACCGTCCTGTGGTAGTAGGTTGGTAGACAACAACCACCCAGGGAGGTACTACCGTCCTGTGGTAGTAGGTTGGTAGACAACAACCACCCAGGGTGGTACTACCGTCCTGTGGTAGTAGGTTGGTAGACAACAACCACCCAGGGTGGTACTACCATCCTGTGGTAGTAGGTTGGTAGACAACAACCACCCAGGGAGGTACTACCGTCCTGTGGTAGTAGGTTGGTAGACAACAACCACCCAGGGAGGTACTACCGTCCTGTGGTAGTAGGTTGGTAGACAACAACCACCCATGGAGGTACTACCGTCCTGTGGTAGTAGGTTGGTAGACAACAACCACCCATGGAGGTACTACCGTCCTGTTGTAGTAGGTTGGTAGACAGCAACCACCCAGGGTGGTACTACCGTCCTGTGGTAGTAGGTTGGTAGACAACAACCACCCAGGGTGGTACTACCGTCCTGTGGTAGTAGGTTGGTAGACAACAACCACCCAGGGTGGTACTACCGTCCTGTGGTAGTAGGTTGGTAGACAGCAACCACCCAGGGTGGTACTACCGTCCTGTGGTAGTAGGTTGGTAGACAGCAACCACCCAGGGAGGTACTACCGTCCTGTGGTAGTAGGTTGGTAGACAGCAACCACCCAGGGAGGTACTACCGTCCTGTGGTAGTAGGTTGGTAGACAACAACCACCCAGGGTGGTACTACCGTCCTGTGGTAGTAGGTTGGTAGACAACAACCACCCAGGGAGGTACTACCGTCCTGTGGTAGTAGGTTGGTAGACAGCAACCACCCAGGGAGGTACTACCGTCCTGTGGTAGTAGGTTGGTAGACAACAACCACCCAGGGAGGTACTACTGTCCTGTGGTAGTAGGTTGGTAGACAACAACCACCCAGGGTGGTACTACCGTCCTGTGGTAGTAGGTTGGTAGACAACAACCACCCAGGGAGGTACTACCGTCCTGTGGTAGTAGGTTGGTAGACAACAACCACCCAGGGTGGTACTACCGTCCTGTGGTAGTAGGTTGGTAGACAACAACCAACCAGGGAGGTACTACTGTCCTGTGGTAGTAGGTTGGTAGACAACAACCACCCAGGGTGGTACTACCGTCCTGTGGTAGTAGGTTGGTAGACAACAACCACCCAGGGAGGTACTACTGTCCTGTGGTAGTAGGTTGGTAGACAACAACCACCCAGGGTGGTACTACCGTCCTGTGGTAGTAGGTTGGTAGACAACAACCACCCAGGGAGGTACTACTGTCCTGTGGTAGTAGGTTGGTAGACAACAACCACCCAGGGTGGTACTACCGTCCTGTGGTAGTAGGTTGGTAGACAACAACCACCCAGGGTGGTACTACCGTCCTGTGGTAGTAGGTTGGTAGACAACAACCACCCAGGGAGGTACTACCGTCCTGTGGTAGTAGGTTGGTAGACAACAACCACCCAGGGAGGTACTGCCGTCCTGTGGTAGTAGATTGGTAGACAACAACCACCCAGGGAGGTACTACCGTCCTGTGGTAGTAGGTTGGTAGACAACAACCACCCAGGGAGGTACTACCGTCCTGTGGTAGTAGGTTGGTAGACAACAACCACCCAGGGAGGTACTACCGTCCTGTGGTAGTAGGTTGGTAGACAACAACCACCCAGGGTGGTACTACCGTCCTGTGGTAGTAGGTTGGTAGACAACAACCACCCAGGGAGGTACTACCATCCTGTGGTAGTAGGTTGGTAGACAACAACCACCCAGGGAGGTACTACCGTCCTGTGGTAGTAGGTTGGTAGACAACAACCACCCAGGGTGGTACTACCGTCCTGTGGTAGTAGGTTGGTAGACAACAACCACCCAGGGAGGTACTACCGTCCTGTGGTAGTAGGTTGGTAGACAACAACCACCCAGGGTGGTACTACCGTCCTGTGGTAGTAGGTTGGTAGACAACAACCACCCAGGGTGGTACTACCGTCCTGTGGTAGTAGGTTGGTAGACAACAACCACCCAGGGAGGTACTACCGTCCTGTGGTAGTAGGTTGGTAGACAACAACCACCCAGGGTGGTACTACCGTCCTGTGGTAGTAGGTTGGTAGACAACAACCACCCAGGGAGGTACTACCGTCCTGTGGTAGTAGGTTGGTAGACAACAACCACCCAGGGTGGTACTACCGTCCTGTGGTAGTAGGTTGGTAGACAACAACCACCCAGGGAGGTACTACCATCCTGTGGTAGTAGGTTGGTAGACAACAACCACCCAGGGAGGTACTACCGTCCTGTGGTAGTAGGTTGGTAGACAACAACCACCCAGGGTGGTACTACCGTCCTGTGGTAGTAGGTTGGTAGACAACAACCACCCAGGGAGGTACTACCGTCCTGTGGTAGTAGGTTGGTAGACAACAACCACCCAGGGTGGTACTACCGTCCTGTGGTAGTAGGTTGGTAGACAACAACCACCCAGGGTGGTACTACCGTCCTGTGGTAGTAGGTTGGTAGACAACAACCACCCAGGGTGGTACTACCGTCCTGTGGGATATATTATGTCCCAATGGATATATTATATCCCCAGGGATATATTGTCTCCAGGGATATATTATGTCCTCTGGGATATATTATGTCCCCAAGGATATATTATGTCTCCAGGGATATATTATGTCCCCAAGGATATATTATGTCTCCAGGGATATATTATGTCTCCAGGGATATATTATGTCTCCAGGGATATATTATGTCCCCAAGGATATATTATGTCTCCAGGGATATATTATGTCTCCAGGGATATATTATGTCTCCAGGGATATATTATGTCTCCAGGGATATATTATGTCCCCTGGGATATATTATGTCCCCAGGGATATATTACGTCCCCAGGGATATATTATGTCTCCAGGGATATATTATGTCCTCTGGGATATATTATGTCTCCAGGGATATATTATGTCCTCTGGGATATATTATGTCTCCAGGGATATATTATGTCCCCAGGGATATATTATGTCCCCAGGGATATATTATGTCCCCAGGGATATATTATGTCCCCAAGGATATATTATGTCCCCAGGGATATATTATGTCCCCAGGGATATATTATGTCCCCAAGGATATATTATGTCCCCAGGGATATATTATGTCCCCAGGGATATATTATGTCCCCAGGGATATATTATGTCCTCTGGGATATATTATGTCCCCAGGGATATATTATGTCCCCAAGGATATATTATGTCCCCAGGGATATATTATGTCCCCAGGGATATATTATGTCCCCAGGGATATATTATGTCCCCAAGGATATATTATGTCCCCAGGGATATATTATGTCCCCAGGGATATAATATGTCCCCAGGGATATATTTTGTCCCCAGGGATATATTATGTCTCCTGGGATATTTTATGTTCTCAGGGATATATTTCCCCAGGGTTATATAATATCCCCAAGGATATATTATGACCCCTGGGATATATTATGTCCCCAAGGATATATTATGTCCCCAGGGATATATTATGTCCCCAGGGATATATTATGTCCCCTGGGATATATTATGTCCCCA